TCCAACCCAATAGTTGAAAGAGCAGTGTTGGGCTGGCCACTATGCTAATCTCTTCAGTGATAGTATCCCAACAGTCCTATGAGAGGAGCATTAATATGACTTTCCTTTCCCAGATCAGAAAACTGAGGCATAGCAAGATTAAGTAACTTGTCCAGTGTCACACAGGTAGTACATGATAAAACCAAATATTTCAGCCCATGTTTGTCTGAATCCAGAGCCTATGCTTAGATTACACATCAAAGGAATTAATTTTCAATTCAATAAAATACACTGAGTGCAAAAAAGAGTTTATAAAGAGTAGTGCTGGTATTATTGAGAAATTATCGAGGCTTCGAATCTGGCTCTGCCATTGACTGGCTGTGACACCCTGGGCAAAGTATCCCCCACCTCTGGGGCTTGGTGTTTTCATCTGTAAAACAAGGTGGGGCTTTTTTGTCTTTTTATTTTTTTTGATGGAGCCTCACTCACTCTGTCGCCCAGGCTGGAGGGCAGTGGCGTGATCTCGGTTTACTGCAACCTCCGCCTTCTGGGTTCCAGTGATTCTCCTGCCTCAGCCTCCCAAGTAGCTGGGATTACAGGCACCCACCACCACACCTGGCTAATTTTTGTATTTTCAGTAGAGATGGGCTTTCACCATGTTGGCCAGGCTGGTCTCAAACTCCTGACCTCAAGTAATCCTCCTGCCTCAGTTTCCCAAACTGCTGGGATTACAGGCGTGAGCCACTCCACCCGGCCAAGGTTGTTGTTTCTTAAAGTTGGTTGATATTTATGCAGAGCTCTTCTGTGTCCCAGGCACTGAGGCACAAGTTCTATAAGGCTCTCATTTGATTTTCCAGGAGTCTTGGGCCTTGGAAACCTCTCAAAATGCGTGAAGAGAGAACACCCGAAGCAGCGTCTGTCTTGACCCATGGCCTCCCTCTCCTCACTGAGTCAACACAGCAGCCCCTCCATTATCCTTTCTCCCTGCCAGCCAAGCAATTGAAGAAAGAAGCCTCCATGCCAAGATTGATGCTGTCTAGCCGGAGAAAAGGCATTTGAGAAATTACTTGGTAATTTTCTTTCTTCTGCCTCTGGAGATCTATTTCTGGAGCTGGTGGAGACAGTGTGATTGTAAAATCTGAAAAGACCAAGAAAGTATGTGGCCTGGCCTGAAGCCAGAAGGAAGCTACACTAAATGATGAATTGAAAATAATGTCTGAGGTCTAGAGCCCAGAAGGAACTAGCGATGGGAATCGTGTTACCTCTTCACCTGCAGCTTCAAAGGCAGGACTCACTTTTAAGAGCTTACCCGTGCAGGATGGTCAGGGTCAAGTGTTCAAGAAAATGCAGGATGGCTTTAAATGAGCTCTGAAAACCCCCTCCAGCCCAGCCCGATGAGATGATAAGAATGTTTTTTGGTAGAAAGAGAGTCACAAATTAGCATCAGTTTCACATTAAGCAAATAGCTCCTGGTGGAAATTTGATCAGGGAAGGTATAAGATGTTAAGTCAACTGATGAGTTGCTGTATATAAAGCTCTGTTGCTGAATCTTTTAATCTGGCTTCTACAGTGGTAGTCGGTGCATGGAGCTCACTGGTCTTGGACCCAGTAAACCCAGTTTGATCCTGGCTCTACCTATGTAGCTAATTTCAGCCTCTTCATTTGTAAAATGCTAATAACAATCTCTTGTCCTATAACGTTGCTGTGAGAATCAAAGTTCCATATATTGAAAGTGTTGTGGAAACTGTCAAATAGTAGTCAGATAATATAAGGTATTATATATTAGAAAAACAATTCATTTGTCAAAAATGATGAGGCAATGATAACTCAAATGATAGGCCAAAGTTAGAACCTATTGGCATTTTAGGAGAGCTTCATAATTCAAATGATCCTTCATAATTGTATGCATAGATAGAGACACAAGAAGGAGATGGGAGAGTCAAATGGTTGTTATATGGTCGAATTGTGTTTCTTTCTCAGAAATGAAGAAGTAGCCTGGGCGTGGTGGCTCATGCCTATAATCCCAGCACTTTGGGAGGTGGAGGTGGATTGATCACCCGAGGTCAGAAGTTTAAGACCTGTGTGGCCAACATGGTGAAACCCTGCCTCTACTAAAAACACAAAAATTAGCCAGGCGTGGCGGCACATGCCTGTAGTCCCAGCTACTCTACTCCAGAGGCTGAGGCAGGAGGAATCGCTTGAACCTCAGAGATGGAGGTTGCAGTGAGGCGAGATTGCACCAGTGCACTCCAGAGATCATGCCACAGCACTCTGGCCTGGATGACAGGGCTGAACTCTGACAAGCAAAAAAAATAAAAGGAAAAAAGGAAGCAATTTTTATTTTTAGATCCTCAGACCACATGGCCGGATCTTTCTGGGCAAGTCTCAGTCAATTTATGTAAAGCATGAGGCTGAGAAGCTCATGCCCAAACCAGAGACGCCTGGCAGCGAGTACAGAGTGACTTGCTGCTAGACCAAACTCATCTTAACTTGTGGACACAGCTTGGAAGCCAAAAGAAAAAGATGCCCAATAAAAGATCATCTGGACTTTTTGAGGCTGAGAATGCAGTAACATGTAACTATTTAGGGGTCCAAACCCATTTCAGGAAAATAGTAATTGAGTAGAAAAGTAGATCATGTTTTTCTACCCTTGTAGAAGCTGAGAAATGAAAGTTATCTCCTGGTGAGGCACTAGGTAGGGTGGGCTGAATAACAGATACTCTCTGCCACAAAATCATATCCTCATCTTCAACACTGTGAATATGTTACTTTACATGGTAAAAGGGACTTGGCAAATGTGATTAGATTAAGGATCTTGAGATGGGGGATTATCCTGGATTATCTGAGTAGATCCAAAAGAGGGAGGCAGGAGAGCCACAGATGGAAAGAGATGTGGTGGTGGAAGAAGAGGTCAGAGAGAGATGGAAAGAGATGTGGTGGTGGAAGAAGAGGTCAGAGAGAGAGAGAGAGACATCTAAAGATGTTATGCTGCTGGTTCTGAAGATGAACCAAAAAATGTAGGTGCCTCTAGAAACTGTAAACGGCAAGGACATGGATTCTCCCAGACAGCCTCCGGGAAGTATGCGGCCCTGCTTTTCCCGTTTTAGATTTCTGACACCCAGAACTATAAGGTAATAAATTCATATTGTTGTAAGCCACAAAGTTTGTAATCATTTGTTCCAGCAGCAATAGAAAGGTAAGATGCTAAGTAACTTTAGGCTGTGGTCTTTGCTCAGTGTGACCCCTATATGTTGAAGAAGGACATATAACAAAATAATAAAACCCCAAAACATGACTGAAAACAAGATGCTTTGATAATTTGTTAACATGGAATTGCTAGTTTCCTTTAATTTCATGGCCACTGTTGTGGTAATGAACTGTATCCACAGGTTTCCAATCTGTTTCCTTGTCATGGACACATACAGGCACACACAGAGACGGACACACACACCTCACTTAAAATAAGACAGAAAAATTTCATGGTGGATCTGCATCTGAGACCCACCACGGTTCCCTACGCCTCCTGAGTGACATTTCCTTTCAGGAGTCTTCCTCTAGCCCCTTCCTCCCTCCCTGTTCCCTGGCCATCAGAGGGCTTCCTGATAGTCTCTGAGGCAGCCGTATTCCAGAATCCAGGCTACTGTGAGGCAGAGATCATGAAGGAACAGTCTTATGTTTCTGTTTTTGTTTTTTTGAGAACGGAGTGTCGCTCTGTTGCCCAGGCTGGAGTGCAGTGACGCGATCTCCTCTCACTGCAACCTCCGCCTCCCAGGTCCAAGTGATTCTCCTGCCTCAGCCTCTCGAGTAGCTGGGATTACAGGCGCCCGCCACCTTGCCTGGCTATTTTTTTGTATTTTTAGTGGAGATGAGGTTTCACCATGTTGGTCAGGCTGGTCTCTAATTCTTGACCTCAAATGATCCACCTGCCTCGGCCTCCCAAAGTGCTGGGATTACAGGCATGAGTCACCATGCCTGGCCCGGTGCTATTTCTTTATGGTAACAAAACCTCTGGTCAAGTCAGCTAAAGATGGATGTTAAATCGTTCAGGCTGGGTATGATGGTGGCTCACGCCTGTAATCTCAGCATTTTGGGAGGCTGGGGTGGGAGGATCACTTGAGGCCAGGAGTTTGAGACCACCCTAGCCAACACTGCAAGACCGTGTCTCTGTAAAAGACAGAAAAATTAGTCAGCCATGGTGATACACATCTGGAGTCCCAGCTATCCAGGAGGCTGATGTGGGAGGATTGCTTGAACCTGGGAAGCTGAGGCTGCAGTGAGCTGTGATTGTACCACTGCACTACAGTCTGGGTGACATAGCGAGACTGTCTCAAAAAAAAAAAAAAAAAAAAAAGACTCAAGGCACCATGAGGGCAGAATATCTATCAGATCAGTGGGCTGAGTTTTTAAACAAAAATCTGTGTCAAAGGCTGCTCTGGAGTTTTGCTTACATGGCCCTAGCATCAATGGTCCAAATGAGCTCACAGTCACTCTGCCTTCCCTCCTCCTCCCCTTCCCTTAACATGCAACTTGATTCCACAGAAGAGAAGGATAGGAACTAGAGCTAAAAACATTTTCCTTTATCTTTTTTTCTTTTTCTTTCTTTTCTTTTCTTTTCTTTTTTTTTTTAGACAAGGTCTTGCTCTTTCATCCAGGCTGGAGTGCAGTGGTGCAATCACGGCTCACTGCAGTCTCAACCCCCTGAACTCAAGTAACTCTCCTACCTCAGCATTCGGGGATCATAGGTTTGTGCTACCATACCTAGCTAATTTTTTTTTTTAATTGTCTGTGAAGATGGTATCTCACTGTATTGCCCAGGCTGCTCCTTTATCTTTGAGGGTTTTCCTGAATTTCAAAGAGTCAAGGAGGACACCCCATAGTACCACTCAGCTTTCTCCCCGATTCTCTCCCAAGGTGTCTTCCAGAAAGAGGGCTTCTGGGGATAATGCATTTCCAGCCACCATTCCTTCAACTAGGGCTTTATGGAACATGACCTTAAACTTGGAAGGAACAGAAACACATACATGCTCAGACGTGAAGGCAATGAGCCTGGGAACAGCAGCCATTCCTTTCTCCTTGACTTCCGGGAACATCTTAAAGCGCGCGATCATCATGGCATACATGTTAGATATGGCGCCACCTAAAGGGCACAGCAACACACAGTTACTTTATTTATTATCAACCTCATTTCACATGCAAGCAACATTCCTTATTTCCAGTGACCTGAGTCCTCCTTGGACTCAGAAGAAAACCCTATTGACTATCTTTAAACTGAATCCTCAGACTCAAAGGCGCTACCCCAGAGGGCACTTTGGGACAGGACAGGTGCCACCGCCACACCCCCTCTCAGTCACTAACTGGAACTGCAGTGGATTCTACTCTTGTTGGAAGCCCTTTGAAGAGGGTTTTTAATTCAAAAGCAAAAGGTTTGCCTCCATCCCAGCTTGTGAACGTGGTCATTCTGCATAAGTTCTGTAAAATCCTGCTTATATCCGAATGGAGAAACCTTTTTTTTTTTTTCATTTCAACTCATTCAGTGCCGTGCACTTGGATTAAGATAAATCAGTTGTTACTGGTGTAAGCTGTTAACAATTTTTTTTTTTTTTCTTGAGACAGGGTCTCACTCTGTGGCCCAGGCTGGAGTGCAATGGCACGATCTCCACTTACTGCCACCTCCATCTCCTGGGTTCAAGAGATTCTCCTGCCTCAGGCTCCCAAGAGGCTGGGACCACAGGCATGCGCCATCACGCCCGGCTAATTTTTTGTGTATTTTTAGTAGAGACGGGTTTTCACCACGTTGGCCAGGCTGGTCTCAAACTCCTGACCTCAAATGATCCACCCGCCTCGGCCTCCCAAAGTGCTGGGATTACAAGTGTCAGCTACCACTCCTGGCCTCATCAACAATTTTTAGAGAGCAGCAGTCCCCAACCTTTTTGGCAGCAGTGACGCGTTTCGTGCAAGACAATTTTTCCACCTATGGAGGGTCGGGGGCGGGTGGGGGTGGGGTGGAGAATGGTTTTGGGACGAAACTGTTCCACCTCAGAGCACTGGGCATTAATTAGATTCTCGTAAGGAGCATGCAACCTAGATCCCTCGCATGCGCAGTTCACAATAGGGTTCATGCTCCTATGAGAATCTCATGCGGCCGCTGATGTGACAGAAGGCGGAGCTCAGGCGGTAATGCTGGCTCGCCCCTTGCTTACCTCCTGCTCTGCGGCCCGGTTCCTAATAGTCCACAGACCTGTACCGCTCCACCATCAAGGGGTTGAGGACCCCTGTCATAAAGGATATATCTCCAATTCTATCTTACCATACTCATCTGTTCATTCCCTCTAAACTAGTTCTTTCCTCTCAAAGACATCATTGAAATAGAATTGTATTAGCTAACAAAACTCATTTCATAATTATAGAAAAACTATAATTTTTTTAGAAAAACAACTTAGTTGTTTTTATAGAAAAACAACTAAGAGAATCTTCAGTCCATATTGTGTTACTTTTTCTGTGTCATCCAAAGGTTGTCAGGGATTCCACACCATAAGATTTGTGTCTTATCAAGAGTCTCACTTGACAAGCAAAGAAAACCCAGGGCTATTGGGAAGTTTAGGATGTTTGCAATTCAGGAAAGACAGATTGTTATGAATGCAAATTAATATGCTGGCATGGAAGACGTGAGGCCATGGGGCAGAGTGAAGGTACTGCCTCTCCTTCCTGCCCAAGGGGAGCACCCCAAGCCCTGCTGTCAGGAGAGTGTTGTGAGTTACTCTCCTTCCTGGTGGCTGAGGAGCAGGAGGGCTCCATGTCAAGCTGAATGGCCCAGGCAGGGGTATGACCTTTGCCTCTTGAGCCCTGGGCTCTGACTCAAGCAGGCCGCCTGGCACACAGCACTCATCACCCAGATCCATGCCTCTGTCCTCAGCCAAAATAAGGGCGATTCCTTCCTTTCTGGACTCCAGAGACGCAGGAGAAGCAGAATCCAGGTCACGCCTGCTCTGAGCAGACACCCGGCCTGAAAGGCAGACTGTAGGATGCTGGAAGTGGGGTCTGCTTCGAAAGGAAATTCCATCCTAGCTCATGGTTTTGGCACTTACTGACATTTTGGGCAACATAATTGTGGTGAGGGCTGACTTGGGCATTATAAAGTGTTGAGCAGCATCCCTGGTTTCCACCCACCAGATGCCTGTAGCACCCCCTCCCCCAGACAATCAAAAGTATCTATAGATATTGCCAAATGTCCCTTGGGGAGAGCAAAATGACCTTGTTTGAGAATTTAGTTGTTCTTAAAGAGGCCGGAGAAGGAAGGAGGGGAGAAGAGAAAGGGGAAGACGTATCCAAAGAAAGTGCTCTTCACATGCATTTCTTCTGAGGCTTCCAGCCCTGCCCTCCCACACGTCACTCTGCAGCTCAGCTGTCCTCTGGCTAAAGGCTCAGCAGGCCTGAGTGAGAGAAAGAGGCTTCTGGGCCTCTGGGCAGAGAAGACCGTTTTAGAGGCATGAGGAAAAATGCGTGAGCCCTACCTGCTCTTATTTCCTATGAATCCTCTAAGAAAGGATGTAAAAGCAAGTGCTACTTTGGGTGACTGAGGTGGGCAGATCACCTGAGGTCAGGAATTCAAGATCAGCCTGGCCAACATGGTGAAACCCCATCTCTACTAAACATACAAAAATTGGCTGGGCGTGGTGGTGCATACCTGTAATCCCAACTACTCTAGAGGCTAAGGCACAAGAATTGCTTGAACCCGGGAGGTGGAGGTTGCAGTGAGCTGAGATCGTGCCACTGCCCTCCAGCCTGGGCAACAGAGTGATTCTCTGTGTCAAAAAAATAAAAAATAAAATACATGAATAAAAGCAAGAGGTGAAACATTATGAAAACCCTGTTAGCTAGGAAAAGGTCTGTGACTAAGCCAAGCTTTCTTTCCTAGCCACTCCTTAGTGTTTGTGCTTTGTGACCTGCTGAGCAGTAAGGAGTGCTGCATGTTTCTCTGGTTCCCAGTGTAGGTGATATCACAAAAGCAGATTTCTTCTAGGAGTCCTAAAGGACTTTCCACGAAGCATGAAGCCTTTGGGTATTATCGATGGAGGTATGAGGCAGTATGTTTTAAGTCACAGACCTAACTCTTCACATTGAGTCCCAGGGAATGAGACTTTTAGATCCCAGACACATAAAATGTGTGGCTTTCTCTATCCCCACCCCTTAAATTGTAAGACCGTTTACTGCAGGAGCGAGGCTGGATGCTCCCGGGAATAGCATCCATGGCCAGTAAGGTGGTGATGAGCCATGTCTCCTCTGTGATGTCTTGTAGAAAGCAGAGCAGAAACAGGTTGCAATGACCTTTTCTGCTGTCTCTTCCCAACTTTGCAATGTCTGCATTGCCCTGTAGTGTGACATCTATGGCTTGCGTCTTGGGGTAAGAGTAAATGGGTCTTTAGGCTCCAAGGAAGCCTGTAATTCCCATGCTCAAGCTGAAGTCGTCTCCACGTGAAAATCCCCCATCATCAATGAGGGTGGAGGGTAAGCTCTGAGCCTAGCAGAACTGCCGAAGAGAATTCTTTCTCTGGGTGTATGTTTTCTGGGGCATGTAGGTTTTTCAGACCAACCAGGTAAATTAGGCCCAGCTCTTAGTCAAATTAGTCAAATTTTCAGGGTCAACAGGTACAGTTGTTCTCTCCCTCCTCCTGGGGACCATAAAAACTTAAGGCACGGGAATAAATTCAGCATAAAATAAATGCAAATAAAAGAAAAAAATAGAGCCCAGCATGTTCTTGGTTCATCTCAGGGACAGATCAGTCCTATACCCATCACACAAGGGTGGGAAGAAGAAAGGTAGAAATGACGTGGATCTCTGTACCCCACCTCATTCCTCATGAAAAAGTGTTTTCAAAGCATCAGGCAATGATGACAAAGCTCCCTCAAGAGGCATAGTTTTCCAGAGGAAAACTAAGTATTAAGTGCCCTACAAAATAAAGGCTAGCATAAAATTCACACAGCTGGTGTTCAATGACTTTAAAAGGCTAATTTTCCCTTCCATTTAACTAACACCTTTTCCTTCAGCACCTGAAAAATTGTGCTATATATTTAAACACATAAAATAAAATAGCTGATCAGAGCTTGCAGGCAAACATACTTAAGCCCTGGTCTTGGGGTCACTCTTGCTTACTTATTTTTTCTTTCCACTTTTTCTTTTCTCCCCCACCCCTGCCTCATCATCTGCGTGTCTCTGTAGATTTGCTGAAGAGAGATCACAACCACTTGGCCTTTGCACTGTCTGACACAACGACAGGTGTTGCTCTGGCCTCTCTCTCAGGTGGGTCCTTTCTCAGCGGACTAATCAATCCCGCTCCTGCCACTGATTAGCTGATGATCTGCACATCGGGTTTCTTTTCCACGGGTCAGTGACTTTCTTTCCATGGCCTTCCTAACTTCTATTTCTTTTCTTCATCAAACCAAGGTCTCACACAGAACCGTAAACCAAGGACACAGCTTTTTGTTTCAGGTTGATTCTCTTGGCTGGAAGAGGTGTAAATAATGGAGCTTAGAATGCAATGGCTGGTGATAAAAGGCAGGATGGAAAAGACTGAATGGCATGATAAAGAAGAGAAGGGATGAGAAAGCTCTTGAAGAAATCATCACCCTCTTTTTTTGCTCTAAGAAATTCTCTCCCAAGGCATGCTCTGTCCTCCTTGAAATTAGTGTAAATCCACTTTGCTGCTTGTTATTTCAAAGACAGAGTGGTCCATATGCTCTATGGAGTAGATCTACCTTGCTATGCACCCTTGAACAGCAAATGCTTTATTAAATGAGGCTACCCATTTCCTTTCACTAATTCTGGGAAGAGCGTCAGAGAGTGAATTTCCTTATTAGGAATCTTGATTCCTTTGTTCCACATTATCCGTACATCCTGCTTGTAGGATCACAGTAGAAGCACTGGGTAAGTACCATCTCTGATTATGCTCGCTTTGCACACAAATAACTGCTGTTCAAGCGTGGGTTACTTAGCTTGGAGGCATGTTCAATGGTCATGTGCACTTAATCACATTCATTCTTTTGATCAACACACAGTCTATTTAACCTAAGCAGAGACACAGGCTAGATACTTAATCTTCCCTAGGTTTACAACAAGGCATTGCATATTAGAAGAAAAGACACAAAGAAAGTTGAAATATCATGTACCGGGAGAAAATATCCCATCGCCGGAGCCCCCTGGCCAGCCAATGATTTCTCTCATTTTCTTTAGTGTGACATATTCCAAAAGCACAAATACTGGAGCAATTTCATAGGTGAACCTGAAATGTAGTAATGGCCACATTTTACCTCTGTAACTCAAATACATAATTTACAATCATTACAATAGCTACAGAACTATTTCCTTTTTCAAAACATACATTTACAAGCGTTATGATTATAACATTAAGCAGAGAGAAAATTATTTCAAAAAGGCCTTCCAAAAGGTTTATTTTTTCTATATCCCTACAGTCAAGAGCTCCAATTACTAACATAACGCACAAGAGGTATTTATTGTATTGAATAAAAAAAAATATTACAGAGTAACATGATTTAAAATATAATATCTGGTCCCATTTGTCTTTGACATTATGCACAAAAATAAATCAAACATGTCAGAAAAAAGTCTCTTTGGTGTTTTAAAAATTTTGTTGAGTTTGATTACATGAAAGATATATCAGAACTACTTTCTGTTACATTAAAGTGAACACTCACACTTCAGAAGTTTGTATCACTATTTTAGTGGCTATTTAATAAAAACAGATTTTCACATAAGACGTAAAGACTATGGAATATCACTAATAATTATCCTAAATTACATAAAAGCACATTTGGCTACTTACATGTTAGTATTTGCTGTTGATGTCAGCCAGTCTGCTGCTAATCCAACCATATCCAATCCAGTGGAAAGTTGATTGAAGTATCTAGGATGCCCTGAATAAAATGGAATACCAGAATCAGGATTGCCTCCAATGAAAATAAATTCCTCTCAAACACATGATTTCTCTAGCTAAAGGACCTTGAAAGATCTGTCAGTAACAGGAAATCTGTAAGTAGAAATCCAACATGTACACACGTGTGTATGCGCAAGAACACACACACACACACATGCACATACACACACACCATAAAAGCATTTCCTCTAACCACGAAGACTACTTTAGCTTTTGATATTTCTTAAAACATACCCTATAAATCTTCCTTTAATCATACCCTATAAAAAATAACAAATGTGGTTTGCAATTTGCACACGAATTTCTTTTCTATTTTCAATATTTTTGCAAGCTAAAATGCTACTGCAACCCACAGCTATTCAGACAGGTTACTTCTCGTTTACACTCATGCTGCCAGAAGTCCTTTTTTGTTGCAGTCGTTCTGAGAATCAGTCATACCATGACATCCGCCAGGCATGCCAACATTCATAATAATATCAGTGACAAATGGCTAATGATTACAAAAGACAGGGCAAAAATGAGAAAATAGGACACTCCGCTGAGTGATTTGCCCTGGATTCAAAAGGTGATGATTGTCTAAAGATGGCATGGACAGACAGAGCTAATTCTTGTCAATTCTTCTTTGTTAATTATAAACAACAGAGCTCCTTCATAGTTGTGCTTTAAAATAAGGTCACATACAGTCAACATTACTGTTTTATCAACAAGATACATAAAGATATATTCAATGGACTGATTAGTCCATTGCAAGGCTTATCTAACTGACTTCTAGATCCCTCTAAAACTCTCTAAATGGACTGACATCCACATTCTCCTGAGGCTATTATTTAAAATGTGATTATAAATATGTCATTAGCATTTGGTTTTTTCCTCTTGCTCCACAAAAGCCTGTCATTGATAGGTCCGTGATTTGCACAGCAGCAAAAATTTTAGAAGATGGGCCATTATGGAAATAACATCTGATAAAAAGGTATCTTCCACATCCTGGACATCTGTCTAAAGCCTGGGATGTGATCGTCTCTCATCTCCTGCACAGGCGAAACAAGATAAAGGAAGGCAATGGGGAAGAGCAGGGACAAAAGCCAATGGCTAGCTTATCCTGCACTGGAGTGCTCTCTTATCAGCCTCAGGCATGTGGCCGGAGAGTTAGACACGGGGAAAAGACAGAAGCTGGGAAGGAGCACATTTTAGCGGGATCAGGACTTGTGCATCTACTGTGCATTCTCCAGCATTATTTTATGTCCTTGTGGCCTCATGGGGTACCTTCTACCTCTGACGCTGACCCCCTCAGTTTACCCATCCACGAAGGGTGAGAAGGCCTTTTTGCTGCTGTGGCTGCTGACGTCTGGAGCAACCCTTCACTCCTCTCTGCCTCACTGACTCCCCATTTCATTATGCTCGCAGCTGAAATCACAGCCGCTTCCTCCCTCCCGATGCTCCTTCATTCCTCCATTTCTCTTTCCCTAAGCCTTTTTTTTTCAAGTGAGGAAATTAATAAGAATGATCAACTGTATCCATTAATCTATTCTCCCAATTCATATGCATTTTCTGGATGAATGTGATGTCTATGATTAGACAGTATTTAACTCTAGGGAAACTTGGGAATGAAACCCCTGCATAAGATGGAGAGAGATTGTGATGGGTGTGTTGTGCCTCTGGATATCAGAAGGCCAGTCCACCCTGATGATAACTTTCTGTAAATGGTGAAAACAAGTTTGACGCTTTAATTGCTAGGTTTCCCTTCCTCCCTCTATATTTTTTGACCTTGCTCTGCCATTTCACCTGAATCTCTCCTGCCTCAAAAATTTCATTCCCTGATCATGATGTGAAAATAGGGAGGGAGATGGTTTAACAGGTCAGATCAACAGGCCCTCTTGATGTCTAGCAGAAATATACCCCTAATGACATTTGCTCTCGTCCTGTGGCCCCTACAGGCTGCTTCCCAGGGCTGCCCAGCAAATCCAGGCAGGGCTCTCTCCAAGGAATTGTGAGACCTGCCCCCATCGGTCAGCTGTCCCTGCAGCCCTTGGCTTCCTGCTGCTGTCGCCACCCTGCCAGGCCCTGTGATGGGAGCAGAGCACACTGCGTCAGGCATCGGGTGGCCACACACAGCCTGTGCGGCCAGGAAGATGGTGAGCTTGAGATGTGAGAACGGCTGCTTAGACTCAGGGATGCTCCCTGCAGACTAGCAAATGAGCCCGGAAGGATGCGCAGACTCTGGGAACAACCAGCCTCAGGCAACTCTGACCCTGGTGCTCACGATCAGTTGGGAAGAGGCCAAAAGTCGGTCCAAACTGCTCTTTGTGTCCTGGCAACACTCACACTAGGGCGGCCTCATCTACTGTCGCTTAATTCCCTTTGTCTGATGGTTTGGTAAAAGATTCAGGACCACATTTAAGTCCTACTGTTCCCCAGCCAACACCACCACCAGCAGCATCAAATCTAATGATCTCTGCAAATGAAAATTATTCTGGAATTCTATCATTCTCTGCTCAGTTTTCTGTGTTCCAACATTTCTTTTTACAGAGGTAATTTTAACAATCCATGAAGACTTCATTTTCCCACTGCCCTTCACTCCTCTCTAAGCTTGGAGCCCTAGTGGAAATCAGGTTAAGGTCTCTCAGTAGAAACAAGATGATAATATGCATTTTATAAAATCATCTCTTGAGAAGCATTAAAGTGTCTGGTAGTAGCAGGGATGGCAACTAATTTGAAATATCCTAAATAGTACTAGATGACAAGTATGACAGTTATAGCACAGAGATCTATAAAGTTGCCAGCTGAATAGAGAAAATGACTGCCGTTAATGTTTTGAAATGCTATTTGAAGGAAAAGGCCAGCAGACTAAATGTTATGAAAACTACTGAGAGATTGAATTGATATGCCTTGCTTAGAAATCCAACTTAATCCATCACATTTTTATCTGAACTTTAAATAAAATGCATTACAGTGATACCTAACAGTTTCACAAGCATTATGGCAAAATCTGAGTATTGAATTAGCCCATCTTTTCCTGGCCCTAAATGCAACACTGATAGACAGAACTATTACTTTCACTGACTTGCAGCTCCCATTATCTTAACTCTTTAGACTGCATTTCAGGCACCACTAGCTTTCAAGGATGAAGACACAAAACATTCCCAAAGGTTCTTTTGGTTTGGTAGCAATTCAAACAATAGGTAGCAATTTACTATTAACATATCTAAATATAAGGTATGGGGAATGGGTCAAAAAAATGAATTAAAAGCATCACTCAGGATTGCACTATGAATGCAGGAAAAGCTGAGGAGGGGTAGGAAAATTTTTAATGCCTGGTATAAACATCACGTGGGTTCCTTATGAACGCTGAGGATGATGTCTAATACACCTTCAAAACTCCTATTCCACAACCTGACTTTGATAGAAATCTATGTCCCAAGGCTTTTTGTATGCCTACCTTTCTTCTCTGTTGGTATAAATAATGTGAACAAAAAGAAAAAAAGAACTAAACTTCTCACAGCAAACATTTTAAGAATGTTTGTTATTGATTAGCATAATACTGCTAATTCATCAGCAAAAAATTTGCAATCTAAAAAGATGACGTTTCTATGGTGATGTTCATGTCATATTTCACATTTTTTTATTTGCTAGCAAATCTTTTAAAGGCTACACATCAGTTTAGATCCATAAAGTTCTCCCCGCCCCTGGAAATTCATTCATACTTATTTTTATTGCCTTAATGAAATGCCATGCCATCGTGTATCAGGATGATTAGAGACAATGTAAAAAGCGAGGTTAATCAAGACCTGGGCAGATGAATAGCTGACTTTGTGTAGATAACATGAAAGCTCGGAATGCACCCAAATAAATGTTATAAACGAAGCTGTAACATGGATGGAATATAAAGAATCCTGTGAAAAGCCAAGAGACCACAAAAGCACATTTAAAAAAATTTCCCCCTAAGGATATCTGATTTGCCCCTCCCCCCTTTTTCCTTTATCTCACATACACAGTGGCTGGGAGGAACACACATCCATATATAACATGGCTGAATTGCTAAGCTAGCCTGTATCATGTCTGCTTGTGTGTTGTGCACATCTCCTTAAAAATAAGTGAAAATCTGAATTCAAATCTGAAAGGCTGGCCTTTTAACACAATGTGAAAACATCCCTCCTGCTCAATGATTAATAGGGTGGTGAGTCCTGTTTCTGACCAGTTTTATGCCAAAGAAAATACCAGCACAGCACTGGTATTCGGGCTTTTGTTTGGATCATACATTTTTGGAGCTTTTATTTCCATATTCTCTTTCTCCATTTGAGTTCTTTCTGCTGGTTTCTGCTGATGAATGTTTGCTTCTACACCAGTGGTTAATCTCCGTGTCCAAATACATGCAACATAAAATCTGATGATTTACACTTAAATCATGTTTCTGACATTATCAACTTCAGAAGCATGAGCAATAACAGTGGAAGGTGTTTTGGATTAGAATCATTCTAATAATGACTATTTTTTACGTGATGAAAATAACTTTGCAATTTTGAAAATATCAGTAACTCCATCAAACAAAACATTTTATAGAAAAAAATAAAATAAAAATTGTAAAAGAAAAAAGAGCTTTATTATTTTCGATGAGACAATACCTGTTTTAATTGCATATTTTAGAGTTGTTTGGCAATGCATCAAAATTTCCTCCAAATTTTGTGGTTGGTCTGCCAATTCCCAATTATATTCTTGGAGAAGCTCATTAGGATAATGGAAATCAATCACTTTGGTTGATCTATCGAAACTTTTCACCACATACTGAAGTAAAATGTTCATAACATCTTGCAGAAACGCCAAAGTGGGCCTTTCTCCATCACACGCCGGCAGCAGGTCTAAAGAATGGAATTAAAATGCCACATTTTAATTTTACTGTGAAAATATTCAAGGCAAGATCTTGATGAGGCAATAACATTTCTTTGAATTGAGAGATTTCATGTTAAATAAAGCTTTTGGAAACGCAGAACATTTTTCTTTAAAAGGGAGACATTTTTCAAAGGTGAAGGGAATGAATGAGAGAAATTACTTCTCTTCCCCAAATGACTGCATTTCAATTCATAACTTATATTGTTTACTTTCTTTTTTTGAAGAGCGTGTGTCTGCGTTTATCTGCTTCACAGGAGTTCGTCCTAAAGGTTGTTTCTCAGTAAGCCATCTTACGTGTTTACGGAGATATTTCATGTCAGAAGTGTTTGTCTGAATGCCTTCAGGCAAACCAAAGTGGAACAGGAGCCCTAGTATCTCTGGTTGGCTAGGAAGGCCCGCTGTTTCTAAAGTCAGTGCGTGTGTGTGTGTGTGTGTGTGTGTGTGTGAAAGAGAGAGCATGTGCGTGTGTGTGTCTGCATGTGTGTGCGCGGGCATACATTTGGGAGACGGTGTGTAAGCGCACGGGGGTAAAACTTGGCGCGCGGGTTTCATGTGAATGGAATCGTTCTCTTGTGCGATTGCAGCTACAAATCACTCTCGTGATCTAAAGACCTAAAAAAATTATGCAATTCTGCATTCTCGAGCACATTTGGAAATCGAGTCCCACCAGAGGCCCCAGCGGCCTAGGGAAGCCAGCCGTCATGGATTCAGTGCTCGCACGAGCGCCTGGGCCATCGGCCACCCGCCACCCCAAGGGCCGCGCTGGGGGAAGAGCGCCACGGCCTCAGAGCCCTCTTGGAGCTCAGAGGCCAGGTTCGGGGGCTTGGACCCAGCGGGCAGGTCCCGCATTTCTCGCTTTCATCTAAAGATTCTGGCAGGTCCAGCCTCCGCCGCCACCTCGACGCCCCTGTCGGGTTCTCAGCGCCGGGTCCCCACCGGCCGAGGTGGGCGGGGCAGAGAGAGGGGCAGGGGCGCCCCCGGGCTCCGCGAGAGCCTTTACCTGTTGCATGGAGAAACCCGTAGTTGACATCCGCTTTGGGGCAGCTGCAGGGCTTCTGGTCGCAGGCGCAGGCGGCCTTCCGGGCGGCGACCCGTGGGGGTTGGCTCCCGCCGCTCTCCGCCGGCTTCTCCGCGTCTCCGTAGAGCAGGGCTGGGTAAGGACACCGAGCGCGGGCCTTGTCTATCCTCCGCCGGGCCCGGCTCCCTCGCTCCCGCCCACCCGCAGCTAGGAAACCCCGACTCCGCTGACCCGGATGCGGAGGTGAGAAGACGGCTTGGACCCCGCGGGCCGCCAGCGCGCGACCTTGCCCGCCCCTGTCCCTGGGCACTCACCGCACAGTTTGTTTCCAATGCCGCCCGTGAACTTCTGAGCCACTTGGCACCAGGCTCGCGCTGCAAGGAAGGACAGGCAGGCGGACAGCGAGGCGGAAAGAGAACAGCAGACGGACGTGTGAAATTTCGTTCTGTCTGAACATCAATCAGTCCCGGGTCCGGGAAGGGGCTGCATTCCTCCTGGGGGCCACTCAGGACTCGGTGAGGCCGGCAGGTGCGGGAGGCAAGCGGGAGCCTGGCAGCCCGGGCCAGCCCTCATTTACTTGATCTGTTTCCCAAGGAGAAGCCCACACCGCTGCCCTTCCAGGTGCCAGTCGGCTCAGGCAAACTCCTCTCCCTGCCAAGCTTGGAGTTTTCCTAAATACTGAAGCTATCCATTTTTTCGCAGGCTGTCTTTCTAGACCAAGAAATCTCTCACCTTTCCCATTGTTTTTTTTTTTTTTCTATCTTCACGGTCACTCCGTCCCTCCCCAGGGTCCAGACACCTGGATCTTAGCAGCGCCCCAGGCCCATGGATTTCCATGTCCCCGAGACACCGCGGTCTTTGCGGGGCTCTTCGAACCTTCTGTGGAAGGGGCCCGAGACTATTTGGGCGTCTTCCCAGGGGACAAGAGGCTGTAGAGGTCTTGAGCTCTTAGGCCGTCAAGGACTTAGCCCAAAAGCAGGGAGATGCGCCCGAAGAAGTTTCCTGTTGCGGGTGGAAAAACCTCCTTCGTCTTCTCCGTAGCCCCGCAAACCCCAGACCACCGCAAAACTCTCCCGCCGCAGGTCCCGGTTCTCTTTCCTACCTGTGCCGGGATTGTCGGAATCCCCGGAGCCATTTTCCGACCCGAAGGACCAAAAGCCAGAGCCCGGAGATGCCATCGGCTTTGGAGACTGGAGCAGGTCGCCTGCGAGTGCGAGCTGCGGGCGAGCTGCCTTGGGCTTGGCCCTGTGCGCGCGTGCGTGCCCGTGTGGCGGGAGGAGGGCACAGCCCGAACACCGGCGGGGCCGAGCGGCGAGGGCGGGTGTCACGCAGGAACAGAAAACGCGCGTGTCTGAGTGTGCGTGTGTGTATGAGAGCTGGAGACAGGGTTTAGGGACGTGGCAATGCTTTGGAAGCCGGGAAGCCTTAAAAGGGACAGGTACTACCTAAGGGTCCTCGGAGCCCGGACTCGGGAAAGCGCGGAGAGCCCCAGAGCATTTGAGGGAAAGGGAGTCCAGTGGGGATGAATGAGGGGGCGGCGGAGGAAAAAAACACGGGAGAGGGAGGGAGCTGAGTCGTGAGGATGCGAGGCAGACCGTGCACGCCAGCTGGAGTCAGAGTGAGGGGGTGGGAGGTGTGCCAGCGCGTCCTCTGGCGAGCCAGAGGCGGGAAGTGCGGGCGGCCGCTGTCCCGGGTGCTGCCACGGCCGCTGCGCGCCAGCGTCAGCGAGGGGCACACTGGGGAGACCTCGGCGAGGCGGGGAAGCGTGGCCCAGAGGGGTTTTCTGTGTGCATCGATTGGGGTGTTGTTTGAGGTCTAGCTCCTGCTGAGGGGAAGGAAGCGGGGTTCCCGCGCCGCCCTCCTCCAAGCGGGTGCTGAGGTCGCTGCGACCTCGGGAGCTTGCGCCCCGGGCCGGCATCAGGCGCCGTTCACGAGCCTGGGGAGGGGACGGCGGGGGAAGGGCTCCTACCCGCTGATGGGCTCATTTCAGCGCCTTAGTAGAGCCTGACGCCTGCCTGCTGAAGCGCGCCGTCCCCGGGGGCGCACTGTTCCTGCGCAGCCAAGGGCTAGATCGCGGGACCCACCGTCCAGCCTCTGAGTGACGGCTGGGAAGAATGACTGCTGATTGAGGCAATTAAAATCCACGCTGGAGTCTAGAGGACCTCGGGCTGGGGGAAAAAATAAAACGAATGGAAACTTCTTGAAAGGGAACGAGACAGAGCGGCCAGAGTGGGCAGGATTGATGGCGGGTGGGGGATGGAATCAGGGTATTTGGTGACCTTGGCCCGCGGAGGCGTGGAAGGGCCCGCGGCTGGCGTGGAAGGGGAATCTGTGTGTGCCTGGGAGGAGAGAACAGGGTTTCCAACTAAGCAATCTCGGCTTTCCAAATCTGAGTAGGAAAGAAGGCATCGCCTGAAGGGCCCTCATTTCAAGGGACTTCAAACCATTGTCCCCACTCGCCCCGAGAGAATCTTCGCGGCAGCGCCCGGGAGCGCGAGATTGGCTCTCTCTGAGGCGTATTAGTAAGGGTTTTCTCTTTTTCTAATAAGGAAGGACGAGAAAGTCAGAATCTTTTTCGATGATTTCCTTTCTACAAAAAGCTGTTACAGACAGGGAGGACGCCCTGAGGATTGGGAGCCCTTTGACGGTTTACGCTGCATTCTCTTGGCAGTGGAGATGAACTTCAAGTGCACCTCGCATCTCCGGGGCTCTGGGGGAGAGGGAGGGAGTGAGAGAAGGGAAAGGGCTGACTGAGGTCGGCTTCCCGAGGCGGCTGCCTTCCCCGCGCCTGGCCAGAGCGCCTGTCATTTCCATTGTGTTCACAAGCCGTTTTCTTTCTCTGACCTCCTGAACCAGCTACCAAAGCTGCTACCAAAACAGAGACCGGGGGATCCCGTCTGGGCGAGCACCTCTCGACCCTCGCTTAGAAGGGACATCCTGGGGCACATGTTGGACGCATACAGGCCCAAGTCCTCTATCCTGGAGCACAACTGTCCCTGGTCAATTCTCTCCACAAAGCGCTGTCTTCTGGCGCGCCTGAATCCAGGGGTTCCCTGAGGAGTCATGGGATCCACACTATGGCAGCTGGGTCCAGTCACCAGGATGAGAGCAGGGAACCAGTGGGGCCTTGATAGGGTCCTGCCGAAGGCTGGCGCTGAGCGCGCTAGGTGGAGAAGTCCGGACCAGGCTGTGGGAACCTGGGTGGTCGAAAACTCAGGGCTCAATTTGGCTCCTCCTTTTCGCTCTCTTGGCTCTGACACTCCAGGTCACCACGATAACAACTCCGGAAACCTAAAGACTTGCGGTTCAGCCATCTGCACTTCAGGCATGGCAGCTCTGCAGCTCTCTCCAGCCTCGCAGAGGCTGGTTCTTTGTTGAAATCCATATCAAGTCCTGCAAAGGTTTTGCTTCAAGCCAGCAGTCTAGGGTTGCAGAACTTTCTACTATGGATGAGTGATTGAAAACATAAAGGTTCTTAAAAATAAGCGTTTAAAACACACAAAACCCCCAAAGAAGAAACAGATGAAAACACCCGAATTTAACTGATTTTTTTTTTCTTTTTGGTAAAGCAATGGCTTCAAGTGCTACCGTTTAAACTCCATTAAATCTCACAGCTCTGGAGTACTTTCGATCTAATGGTGGTATTTACATTTTTTATTTAAACGCACCCTACTTCAGATGCAGACGGGGATCTGATTTGTCTTTGCTGAAGGCTGTCCCTCCCTAGACGGTAATTTGCTTTGTAATGACTTTCATTTCACTAAAGAGCCCATTCCCCCTCTCCGGGACTTGGGGTTGGAGATAACAAAAGAGCTCTGGGAGGTAATAATTACAGTCATTAGTTCACAAAGGAGGCAGCCAGTGAACGGGAAGGGAAGGCGGCCAGTGCTGGGGGAAAGATTTGGAAAGCCCTTCCTCAGATGAGGGAGACAGACCCAATCCTCCGGCTTGTAGGGACAGTTTCCTTAGGTGTCTGTGGTTTACTAAGATGCATCTCAGGCTCACCCAAAGAAGAGTGTCTGGCACACATTTTCCTCTGTCCTTCCCATGCTTAAGTGTCAAAGGACAGAGAAAGAAGGGAAGATGGAAAGAAAAGGAGAGGAAACAAAGAACCATGGAAGAACACAAAAACACTGCAACCAAGCATTCACCAAGCCTTTGCCATTCTCTTCTCTATTCTCACTTAAAACATTGGTGCAGGGAAAATTTAGGAAGGGAGTCTGTTGCCTCCCTCCCTAAATTCTCCCTACACCAATAGAAGTAATAGAAGGGGCTGAGTGCCAGGGCTCTTGTCTGCAGGGGCCACCCCAGAAGGAAGCCTAGAAGGAAGCCAGACAGAAAAGCTGACAGAAAAGCCAGACAGAAAAGCCAGACAGAAAAGCCAGACAGAAAAGCAGTAGCTCCTTACCCCTGGCCCCTGCTCCGCCCTCACCACAAACCCAGGCCTTCTGGAGGCAAGTGGACAGGTGGTTAGAGGTGGAAGGGGGCTAGGCCACTTTGGGTTTTAGACACCCCTGCCCCTCCCAGCCCTTCTCTGGTGACCTGCTGTGCTGGTTTCCTGGGTACTGGCCATAAGGCTGCTCAGTGCATTCACACAGCTGAGGGTCACTCCTTACTTTTCAGTCGCAAACCCAGTGAGGCTGTGCTGCTAATCCAGGGAACAAGAAGGCCTGGAGTGCACTTGGACTCTGCCTTGCCATAGCTGCAGGTTTCCCCTTGGCCACATTGCAACTATAAAATGAAGAGTTGTCTCTGGGGACCTTTTGGTGCCAACTCTTTGAGTTGGAGAGATGCCCTGTGGACCAGCGGTACAACAAACCTTCTGAGCCCCCTGCACGTGCCCTCACTCACTCCTTGAATATTTCCCCAGAGTCTTGACTCCGGCCTGTGGGTGCAGGAGCCAAGGGCACCTACACACAAAAGCCCCATCCCGGTCAGAACCTTTCTTCTGATTCCATGCAACAACCTCATCACCTGTCCTCACCCTCTCCAGGTTGCTTAGATGGGAATGTCAGTTTCATAAAACAGCTTAAACCAGGTTTTAGAATAAGGTGCAGTCAACCCAGTAATGCAAACTTCTGTCCACCCACTAGCCTCCCCCATTTTAAATACACACAGAGTCGGAGTAGCAAAGATGGCCCCAAATCTGCAGACTGGGAGAACCTGAAATCTGACAGTTCCACCCAGTGGCGGCACCAGCATCTTTATAGATGGGGCCAAAGACAGCCACACAGATTGGGAAGGCATCGTGCAGGCAAGCACGTGTGGTGCGTTGGGGATTTAGAGATTGGAGGCCTCTGCGTTTGTGTGGCAAGGGGTTTTAGCTTAGATTGTGTTTGTCTGAAGTGGCTGGGTGGTGCTGGGAGTTCGCTGATGAAGGCACCTCAACTCCCCTCCTTGGGCACCGTCACCAGCACAGCCTTATAGCAGAAGCCCCAGAGGGGAAAATGAGGGATCAGTCACGCAAACCACGGGTTTTCCAAGGCACTTCCTTTATTTAGCAACCTTAGTAACCAAAGGAAGAGAAAGAGCAAGTTTGAGATGAAGTACATCTTCGAAATTCTCCCCACCCCTCGCGGGCTTTTTTCTCTTAAGATTCAACCGCTAGCATGTGTTCTGTTGGCTAAGAAAAGCCGTTTCCAAGAAAAACATCTGTGAAGTCACCCCAAATGAGAGAGAGGTTGGCGAGATCCCAGACGCAGTGGAGGCCACAGGAGTTTAAAAAAAAAAAAAAAAAAGAACAAAGAGATCGATTCAGGGATGCCGCAACTGGCGGGCTGGTGAGAAAGGAGGGTGCGGGAGTTCGGACAGAAGGCGTCGGGGGAGGTTTTCCGAGGGCTCCCAGGTCTCTTCTTTCGGGGCACGGAAGGCCAGCCCGGGAACTTGAGGGCCGAGCGCAGCAGGCACCCTCTGCGGAGATCAGGGCCGCAGCTTCAGTGCCTGCTGGTGCCAGCCCGAGTGCCTGCTCGGCCTCTGCTGCCCTGCAGGCTCAAGCGCCTTCCGACGGCGGTGTCTGCCTGGTTGCGCGGCTAGGACTGCTGGACTAGGCGCCGGCGCTGGGAGGTTTTGCGCAGGAGCCTCCTGAAGTCGTAGGGGTTGGCTGCTGCCCCTCTCTCCTCCTCCTTCTTCTTCTCCTCCTCCTCCTCGGGGCTCTCCGCCGCCCAGCACCTGCAAGCGAAACCCAGGGCCCGAGTGTCAACCGCACCACATTGAGCAGCGCGTCCCCACCTACCCCGAGTTAGGCGGGTCCCCTTCCTCTCACGTTCCGCCAACCGCGGACGTTTAGGAAAGGCACAATTGAAATGACTGGATAATGGCCAAACGTATCTGCGATAATTCTCAGCAAGTTTTCAAAACTCCTCTAAGCTGAGGAGCAGAGGGGCTGGTGGAGCCTGGTGATGGTGTTTAGATACATGCTAAGTAAAGCTTCAGAAGGTGCAGTTTGGAAAGGTGAGTTTGGATTGCAATAATTCACAACCAAAAAACAAATATTTATTTTAATACCTTAATTTTAACACACTTTGGTCAAACAGAAAAACTCAAATTGCCTAAATAGGCACTCAATATTTTCCATTTTAAAACTGCTCAGATGTTTCTTTAAAAAATGCTCGCTCAAAATCTGACCAACTGCTCTGGTAGTGGCACCAAGAGCTACGGACCCTGTCGGCTTTTTCAGTGTTTCAGTGTTTTGAATGAGGTTGCTGGGCTAAGTTTCTGAAGCAGCAAGCAACCACTGCCAGTGTTTAACTTTAGATTCTGCAGCTTGTCTGGGAAGTGGGGTATTCCCTAAAAATGCAACTACATAGATTCATTCACTCCTCACTCATTCATTCATTCACTGAGCACCTGCTAAGCACCAGCCACCAGTGTAAGTGACGGGTGAGCAGGAGTCCTTGCTGTCATGGAGTTTATAGTCTAGTGCAGGAGAGACCCACGGACAACTTGAAAACACCAGGTGGTGAGAGGTGCTGCACAGAAAAGTAAAGCTGGGTAATGGGGAAAAAGTGGTGTGTGTGTGTGCATGTGTATGTGTACAGGCAATTTCATACAGGGTGGTTGGAAAGGCCTCTCTGATAAGGTGATATATGAAGAGAGACCTGAAGGAAGAGAGTGAGTAAGCCATGCAGATCTCGTGGGGAAGGGCAGTACTTCCAGGAGGATAGATCAAGCAACGTAAAGGCCGCAAGACTAGGGTATACACATTGTGTTCAAGGAACAGCAAGGAGACCACTGTGGCTTGAAAAGAGTAAGCAAGAGGGGGAAATACCAAGAGATGGGAGAAGGAGGAATGAGGATAGAGTGTTCAGATAATTTAGTGTTCAGATAATTTGGGACCACCTCAAGGACTTGACTTCTACTTACAGTGAGATAAACACTGAAGGGTTCTGTGCAGAGGAATCAAGCATAACAGGATCTGTCTGCCAGGATGAAAGCAGGAAGGCCTGTTAAGAGATTCTGTAGTAATCCAAGCAAGACTGATAGTGGCTTACACTAGGAGGAGGAGGTGAGAACTGGCCAGATTCTGGTCATACTTGGAAGTAGAACTGAAAGGGTTGGCTCACTGATGGATTAAATTGGGGTGTGAAAGAGAGGAACCAAGAATGTCCTCAAGGCTTTTGGCTTAAACAACTGGAAGGATACTGTCATTTAATAAGATGGCGAATACTGCAGAGAAGCATAATTTTTGCAGTGGGATAAAGATTTTAGTTTTGGTTATGCTAAGTTAGAGATATTTATTAGATATTCAAGAGGATATCAAATATATGAGTCATGGCAAGGCTAGATATTTCAGTTCACAAATTTTAAGTACAAAGACAATTTCCTTCCTTCCTTCCTTCCTTCTTTCCTTCCTTCCTTCCTTCCTTCCTTCCTTCCTTCCTTCCTTCCTTCCTCCCTCTCTTCTCTCTCTCTCTCTCACTCTGTCACCCAGGCTAAAGTGAAGTGGTACAATAACAGCCTCACTGCAGTCTCAACCTCCAAAGCTCAACTGATCCTCCAGCCTCAGCTTCCTGAGTAGCTGGGACTACAGGCGTGAGCCACTACGCCTGGATACTTTTTTTGTTTTTATGTTTTTGTAGAGACAGGATCCCACTAATGCTACCCAGGCTGGTCTTGAACTTCTGGGCTCAAGTGATCCTCCTGTCTTAGCCTTCCAAAGTGCTGGGATGACAAGCATGACCCACAGTGCCAGGCCAGGAATTTTAAGTACACAGACAATATTTAAGGTCATGAGAGTGCATGTTGATAAAGCAAAGGACTGAGACACTCCATTATTGAGAGATCAGTGAGATGAGAAAAGTCAGCAGGGAGAATGAGAAATAGCAGCCAGTAAGGCAAGAGGCAAACCAAGAGAAGTGCTGTCCTGAAGGCCAATGAATGAAGTACTTAAAGAAAAAATGAGTAACATAGGTGTAAAATCACCGAGCATGGCAAAACGGAGGTAGGTCACTGTTGACCTTGGCAGAGGCAATTTCAGTGTCGTGCTGGGAGAGGAAACCTGAGTGAAGCGGCTCAAAAGAATAGGAAGAAAGAATGTGCAGGAGGTAGTATCATTACTCTTTCATGTTTTATTTATTTACTATACTGAAGAGCAGAAAAAGTGGGTGGTTGTAAAGGGGGGATTGGGTCAAGGGTGTATTTTATGATGGATCTGAATGCATCATGTTCACTAATTGCCAGAAATGATTTGGTAAAGAGAACAAACATTCAAGGTGCAGAAGACAGAGGGGACAATTGCAGGACAATGCCCTTGAATCAGTGATAGGACTTGAATTTAGTGCACAAAGGGAAGGTTTCACTTTAGCTAGGAGGGTGGAAAGGTCATCCATAATATCCTGAGGGAAGTAGATGGGTAAGTGGTAGGATAGATTCAGCATGTGTCTGTTATCTGCTACTGTTATAAAAGAAGGTTGTCAGCTGAGAGCCAGGAAGTTTGGAGGGTTTGAGGAGAGAGGAGGAAGTTTGAAACAATGGACCGGGAAAGTGGCATAAAGGATTTTTAGGGAAATGTAATATTGCAAAGTAACTAAGGGCCTGCCTAAGATGTGGTCATAATTTTAAGTGGGATTAAATTGTTCTGATTTTACTCAGCATTGGAGTTTACCAGTTGAATATAATTGAAGGAGAGAAGGCAAGGCCATTGGAAATATATGCAAATGAATGAAAACAATGATGAAAGGAGAGGTCTAGAACGTGGCCTGCAGATGGAATATGCTTTTATTCTGGTCCATTCTGAATAGGGAATTAAAAGGCAAAGAAAAAGAAAAAGACCTTTGGCAAGGTCTTTCAGGACACCCTGAGCCCAGTGGATACTTGACAGGGAAGGTCAAGTAGCATCATGATGGGTATTGAAGGAGCAGATCATCCTCTTTTGAGTTACTGAGTTGAATTTTCATACCTATTCAGCTTATTTCTGTTGTAAGAATATTAAATGTCAACTATCTGCCAGGTATATCACACACATTATTTCTAATTCTAAGGAAAATTCTGCAAGGCCTTAGATTCTTGTTATTCTCAATTTGCAGATGAGAAAACAGACTGATCCTAGTTGCTATGGCTAGTAAGAAATGGAGTGCAGATTCAAACCCAGGTCTATAGGTCTCAAATCTTATGCTTTCCTCCTTGTATCCTTTTGCCTCTTTTTTTGTTCATGCTTCTTTCACAATTCTCCTGTCTCTTAAATGAGGCACTTGTGTTCCATCTTATTTTCCCCTTTTCATCCTCCATTGATCTTTTTGCCATAATTAAAACCTGCTTATGCCCTAAACACCCCACATCTCTCACCACTGCCCAACAGAGACCCCACTAGGTCCCATCTTCAGAGGAGACAAGCAGATGTCAGCCTCTTGTTGTCCTCTTTTTCTTTAGGGCCATTCTCTAATCACCGATTGCCTGCCATCAGCTTTCATTCATTTAGTCCATGAGAATAATGAACTATCAACAACAACAACAACAAAAAAAATCAAGAAAACAATCTCACAGTAGCTACAAAAAATACTTAGGAATAAATTTAACCAAGGAGGTAAAACACCTATACACTGAAAAGTATAAAACACTGATGAATGAAACTGCAGATGACACAAATAAGTGGAAAGATATTCCCTGTTCATAGATCAGAATAATTAATATTGGTAAAATGCTCATACTACCCAAAGCAATCTACAGATTCAATGGAATCTCTATCAAAATTCCAATGACAGTCTTCACAAATATAGGAAAATCAATCCTAAAATTTATATAGAACCACAGAAGACCCCAAATAGTCAAAGCTATCTTGAGCAAAAAGAAGAAATCTGGGAGACATCACACTACCTGATTTCAAACTGTATTAAAAAGCTATAGTAAGTAAAACAGCATGGTACTGGCATAAGAACAGATGCATAGACCAATGGAACAGAATAGAGAGCCCAGAAATAAATCCAACATTTACAGTCATTTGATTTTCAACAAAGATGCCAGAAACACACAATGGGGAAAGGACAGTCTCTTCAATAAATGGTGTTGGAAAAACTGCATGTCCACATGCAGATGAATGAAATTAGATTGTTATCTCACTTACAGAAAGCAATCTCACACACAAAAATCAATCCCAAATGGATTAAAGACTTAAACATAAGACATGAAACTGCAAAACTACTAGAAGAAAATATAGGGGCTAGCTCATGTTATGCTGCCTAAAAAGAGAAAAGAAAAGAAACAAATTATAAGGGAAAAGCTCCATGACATTCGTCTGGGCAATGACTGTGATCTCAAAAGCACTAGCAACAAAAGCTAAAAATAGACAAATGGGATTATATCAAACTAAAAAGCTTCTGCACAGCAGAGGAAACATTCAACAGAATGAAGAAACAATCATTTAAATGTGAGAAACTATTTGCAAACTATATATCTAAAAAGTGGTTAATATCCAAAATATAGAAGCAACTGATACAACTTAGAAAAAAAAACCCAAACAGAAAACAACCCTCAAATAACCCAATTAAATAATGGGCAAAAGACCCAAATAAACATTTCTAAAAAGAAGACTGACAAATGGTCAACACGTATATGAAAAAATGCTCAATATCACTAATCATAGGGGAAATGCAAATTACAAACACAATGAGATATCATCTCACACCTGTTAGGATGGTTACTATAAAAAAGATGAAAGGTTACAAATGTCGGCAAAGGTGGGGAGAAAAGGGAAACTCTTGCACATCATTGGTGGGAATGTCAATTAGTACAGCCACTATGGAAAAGAGTATGGCAGTTCCTCAAAAAATTAAAAACAGGCTGGGCGCGGTGGCTCACACCTGTAATCTCAGCACTTTGGGAGGCCAAGGTGGGCAGATCACCCGAGGTCAGGAGTTTGAGACCAGCCTGGCCAACATGGCGAAACCCCATCTCTACTAAAAATACAAAAATTAGATGGCTGTGGTGGCAGGCACCTGTAATCCCAGGTACTTGGGAGGTTGAGGCAGGAGAATCACTTGAACCTGGGAGGTGGAGGTTGCAGTGAGCTGAGGTCATGCCATTGAACTTCAGCCTGGGTGACAGAGCAAGACTGTGTCTCAAAATAAATAAATAAATAAGAAAATAAAAAAAAAATATGATCCTACTTCTGGGCATATATCCAAAGGAAATGAAATCAGTATATTAAAAAGAGATCTGGACTGGGTGCTGTGGCTCATGCCTGTAATCCTAGCACTGTGGGAGGCCGAGGCAGGTGGATCAGTTGAGGTCAGGAGTTCGAGACCAGCCTGGCCAACATGGTGAAACCGTGTCTCTACCAAAAATATAAAAATTAGCCGGGCATGGTGGCACGTGCCTGTAATCCCAGCTACTCAGGAGGCTGAGGCAGAAGAATTGCTTGAACCTGGGAGGCAGAGGTTGCAGTGAACCGAGATTGCGCCACTGTACTCCAGCCTGGATGACAGAGCGAGACTCACTCAAAAAAAAAAAAAAAAAAAAAAGATCTGCACTCAGCTGTTCGTTGCAACATTATTCACAAGAGTCAAGATATGGAATCAACTTAAGAGTCCATCAATGGATGAATGGATAATGAACATGTGGTATATGTACACAATGGAACACCCTTCCACCTTAGAAAAGAAGGAAATCCTGCCATTTGTAACAACACGAATGAACCTGGAGGACAGAGTGCTAGGTGAAAGAAGTCAGGTGCAGAAAGACAAATATAGCGTGATCTCACTTATATGTGGAAACCAAGAAAAAAAGACAAGCACACAGATCAGTGAGTAGAATAGTGTTTACCAGAGGACTGGTCGGGTGACTGGGGATAGATCAGTCAAAGGATACAAAATGTCAGTTAGACAGGAGGAATGAATTCAAGAGATCTATTGTACAACATGGTGACTATAGTTAATAACAATGTATTGTCTACTTGAAAACTGCTGAGGGTAGATTTTAAGTGTTTTCACCATAAAAAAGATAGCTAAGTGAGGTAATTCATATGTTAATTAGCATGATCAAGCCATTCCACAATGTACACATATCTTAAAATGTGTTCTATACCATAAGTTTATACACGTTTTATTTATCAATTAAAAAAATCACAAGGCACTCAATTCACCATTGCTGCTGTCTCTTACTCCCAGACTTACACCTTCTTTCTTGGGCAGTGCCAATACTTGGTGCGTGTATATACACAAAACGATATTCTTTGTGCTCTGACATCTTCTGACATGTAGTTTAGTCTCAAATTTCTCCAGTTGTTTCAATAACAGTATTCTGCTGTTTGGTTTTTGTTTTCTATTTTAAATTCAGAATACTGTCAAGGCTGTTTTGTCTCTGTAATCTTCCTTAGTTTAGAAAAAAAACCTTATCTGAGTTACCTTGTTCAGTTTTGTTATATCAGTATACTTTTCCTCTAGCATCAAGCTCTTGGATGTAAGGATCACATCTTATGCACTATTCTATCCACCCCTTCTTCAAATGCCCAGCATGATCTTTTGCATAGGATGGAAATACTGAGTAATGGTTAAGACCGTCAACTCTAAACTTAGAAAGCCCTGTGTTCAAATTCTGGCTCCATGAACTTACCATCTAGGTGACTCTTTGCAGTCACTGAACTTTGTAGACTTAGCCTCCTCATCTATAAAATGGGGCAGTAATAGTAACTGCCTTATGTGGTTGCTGTGAGGATTAAATGAGACAATAGCATAGTGCCTAGCACAAAGAGTCAGTCAACAATGCTAGCTGCTAGCATTTATTCCAGTGGATACTAAACACACAGCCATAGACATCACTTAGTCTACATCAGGAGTACTGCAGGGATAGAATGCTTTCATAGCAGACGTGTGTCTGCCGGTGCGGGGAAGGGGAAGGATACATTGGAGAAGGGGCAGAGTGAGCTTTTAAAATGGGAAGCAGGTAAGTCAGTGAAAAGCAAATGGGCATGGAGTGAACATCTGGGATTTTAGTTCACTAACTCAGTGTGTGACCTTGGGCAAATCACTTAATCTTTCTGGCATTTGGTGTTCTTCTGTACAGAGCTCTGCGGTTAAACTAGAACATCTCTAAGCTCCAACATGTTACAGTTCTAGATCCCAAGATGGAAGAGCACATCTTTTGGAGGCAAAGGGCAAATATCATAGTTCAGGTGGAAATTCTTTTGCAGATATGGAAATGAAGCTTAAAGAGGTCAGCCAACATGAGCAAGGTCATTCAACAACTAAGCAACAGGATCAGGAACCAAACCTAAGACCATGTGACTCTAAAACTTCTTTTCTTAACCACCATGTCACCCTGTAAAATGGGTGAGGGTTCTGAGGACCCTAGGCTCACAGGATATTCATTTAGAATTCTGGATGAACAGCTTTTTGTTTTCCGTCATTACTCCCACTTTTCATATGCCATGTTTGTTTTATTATATACCCTGATCTCAAAACTCCACACATATTTTGGGAGAAAGGAGAAAAAAATTCCCAAAGTATGAAATAAGCTACAAAATAATTTACTTAATGTCAGAAAGTTGGTGGCAAGGTGAGAATTCAAGCCAATATATGCATTTTTCTATGACTCTTTCTCTCAAATGTTTTTGGGTCTGACATCATTGATTCTGAGAAATTAACAAGCATAATTAAGAAACCAATGAGTAATTAAAATTACATTGGTTGAGCTCGAATATAGATTTTGGATATGATATATTGCTTACAATTAGATGACCATATAATAATTTATCATCCAAACTGAAGTACTTTTATTAAATAACAGGAGTTTTTGTTAATAATTACATCAAGAAAACAGGTATAAACTCAGTTTTTGCTAGGAAAATGGAGGTGTCTGATTACCCTACCATAACACTGTACATGACCTTACTTTTAAACACCATATCACTCAAAAGATGCAATATTCAGTAAGAGTGCTTTGTCATTCATCTATATATAAAGTGAAATATCTTAAGAAATGAAATTGTGAGTATAAAACTGTAAATGCTGTACTTTAAAGTTTAGCTTTTTACCTTTCATTAGCCTTAATACATTGATTCTGGAGTTCTTGCTGTGGTCTTCGTTCTCTTAAACTAGGGCTATGTTCCTTTGGTCCAGAACGACTGGGCAAAAATTCCTTATAATAGAAATCTTCCAAATCTAATAATTTTCCCTGACTGTAAATGAACACATAAACACACCATTGCATCAATCTAATTTTCTACTCACTTAAACTTATAGGATACTTGTTTTTTCTTTTATTTACTATAATTTAGGAGTAACATACACATGTCAGTAGAAATGGAAGGTCTTGAAACGTGGGAAAAACAGTATATCCCATAAGTAAAAAGAAAAACCTTCATATCTTACCTTGAATAGAACATTAGCTGTGGGAGCACATTTTCCTGGTTCTATTGCACTGAACTTGGCACCAAACTAGTGGTTACTATAATAGCCAGTGATTGCAGTGTTTCGGTTTGGCCAGTCTAGATCAGCAGTCACTACTCTCCTTTAGGCCATTATCAGAAAAGCTCACCTTTGTGTACTAACACTCAGCATTTTCAAATTTTATCAGCCCTCAGTACATTGATACACATATGATCTTAACTTACCTCCTTCATGAGTAACATTCTGTCCTCTCTCTATTCTTTGTTCTTTAGTGGATTAATTTCTGTGCTAGATTTTAACACCCACACGTGACATACACATAAGGGTGCATCCTTGCCCATGTTAATTATTGGTTCTACTCAGGGCACAGTCTGGTTCCTATGGTGCTCAGTATCTGTAGTCTGACAGGACTTCCTAAGAGGTAAACAAGTAGGACTGGAAAACCTCCAGGTGCTACAGTGCTTCCAGGAAAACACACTTTTCAAATTACAGATACTAATTTAAAAAGGACTTTCAGGATGTCACTGATTCAGAAATGAAGAACTGTGTTCACTCACGCTGAATAGAAACGCTCTTGTTTGTTCTTGGCACTCACTGTCCGGAAATTGGTTGACGTGAACATTGATTAAAACAGTGATATAGTATTAAAAGAGTAAAATATCAGTGGGAAATATAAGAAAAGGAGAATAATGTGAATTTAAGTGTGTTATATTTGCAGGTAACATGAACCTTATCTTCTTAACAAATCCATAAAAATTACAAGCAGCAAGATTTAGCATGTGTAGAAGGAGAAAAAGCAAAAAGGAGTTTGGGGAAAGAAAATTCATGAATACAGGCATGTTCAAATTGCCCAAGCAAAACCATTCCATGGAACAAGAAAAGCAAATTATTGGGAGGGTACAATTCATTTAAAACATATTTAAGTTCTTAGTGCTATGCTGGCTCAACAGATTTCCAATAGGCAGGATCTTATAAATTATATATAAATCACATATTTGTAATGTAAATGTATTGAGTGCACATTACCTTCCAAATCCATCCATATAAAATAGGTGATTTTTTTTTTTGACAGAGTCTCCCTCAGTCGCCCGGGCTGGAGTGCAGTGGCGCGATCTTGGCTCACTGCAAGCTCCATCTCCCGGGTTCACACCATTCTCCTGCCTCAGCCTCCCAGTAGCTGGGACTACAGGCGCCGGCCCCCCCGCCGCCTGGCAATTTTTTTTTTTTTTTGTATTTTTAGTAGAGACGGGTTTCACTGTGTTGGCCAGGATGGTCTAGATCTCCTGACTTCGTGATCCGCCCGTCTCGACCTCCCAAAGTGCTGGAATTACAGGCGTAAGCCACCTCACCTGGCCTAAAATAGGTGATTTTAAATTATAATTTGGACACATGGATTTTTGTTTGAATAAGATGACTGATTGAAATCGAGAAGTAATAATTACCTGTCTTTCCTTGGTCTTCGTTTGTCTTCTTGGATTGACTTCTAAAGGAAAGAAGAATTCAAAAGACCTATATACTATTATGATCTTAATATAATTGATATATTACTATAATCTTAATATGTAAATACATTTACTTTTAAAAGATTAAGTTAGAAATAAGCAAGTAGATACAATATTTTAAAAATTTAAAGAAATATAATTACTCAAGTTTTATTAATTATAAATTTCTGGTTATTTTTTACCACACCTAAACTGAAATGAATCTTTGCATTCCACATGAAAAATGTATTTCCCACACAGTGATCAATATAGACAAGGTTACATAAGATCTATTTACTACAAATGGGAGCAACTGTAAAATTTCTGGGAAGCCCATTTCTCTACTACAAATGCAGTTGCGATGGAAGCAGGTTAATTAAGCTGCTTTGAATGTCTTGCTTCTTTGTCTGCAGGTAAAACAGATGGGTGAATATGGAGGGCAGGTGCAACAGTCCGCAAAAAGAATGGAATTGTGACTTCATAAACCTATAGGAGCCCATTTATGATATAAATGTAGCAGCACAGATGATATATGTTTTCATTTGTACAATGTTTTCATAGTTGAGAACTTTATGTATCAAGGTCAGAACAAATTAAGATGTGCAAGTATGGAAATAATTAGATATATTTTAACTGATACTTCAATTTGAACATTAACAAAATGGTCCTTTGTATATAAGTTTCACGTTATATACAAACCAGTACTATCTTTTGCACTGTAGCATTAGTAATGCGTTTTTATGTGTGTGCTACTTCAATATATTTGAGCTCATATATTTACATGTTGCCACAGCATATTTGTCTTTTAGGCTGAGAAAGCAGACACCATACTCACCTTGAACAAACTGAAGATATTATAATTGTGGAAACCCTATAGCAGGTGTCAAGTTGGCTGGTACCACAAAAGTGTTGTATAACAAAAATGGCAATTAATAACGATTTATAAATACTGAGGGTTTCCCCCAGTATTTTTAGAGACATAGTAAGTCATGTTTTTTTTTTTCAGGATTTATCATTTGTTGTACTCTAAAATAGTAGATGAGTGGAACAGTTCATGGTTTCTTCTATTCTTATTGGTTGGCATTTTAACAGGTGGATGAGGTAGAAGTGAGTGCTTCCTTGCATCAAGTCTGGGAGGAGACCATTCAGGAAATAATGTAAGGGCAGGATATCAATTACATTCCTGTTCTCCCGTTTCCTATCACTTCACATTCTTGATCCAATGCCCTAGGCTAAGAGGTACTTACAAATAAATTACATTGCCCGCATAGGAACAGAGGCCACTAGCAGTTCAGTTAATGATCTCTGGGATTCGGGTAGTGTTTGTTGTGGTGGTTGTTGCTGTTTTAACATCACTTCGGTAGTAGTTTCCTACAGAGGTCCTGCCTCCTTCATCCATTCCCTGAAAAAAAGCCCCTTTGTTCTAAGTAACAATTGTCTATAGTTCAAAGTTACGTTTAAGTGATGGCAGTACGTTGAACGACAGGGATGCCCCTTTATACAACCAAGAATCAAATAATGTTCTGCCCTTGAATTCTCAGGCTGGTGAGGATCCTATTTATACTAGATCAGCACTTCCCTCTGAGATATCGTGTATATAAGTTGGTTCTCAGTTACAGGAATTCCTAGAAGAGGACATATTGTCCAGACTTCTTTCACTCTTGCCTGTGTTAGAATATTTTTTTTTTGTTTTTTTTTTTGAGACAGGATCTCGCTCTGTGACCCAGGCTGGAGTGCAGCAGTGCAATCTCGGCTCACTGCAACTTCTGCCTCCTGGGCTTAAGTGATCCTCCCACCTTAGCCATCCTTGTAGCTGGGACTATAGTCATGACCCATCACGCCCGGGTAATTTTTGTATTTTTTGTGGTGACAAGGTTTCGCTGTGTTCCCCAGGCTGGTCTCAAACTCCTAAGCTCAAGTGATCCACCCACCTCGGCCTCTGCAAGTGCTGGGATTACAGGTGTGAGCCACTACATGTGGCCTTGTGTTAGAATATTCTCATGAAATGTGAGTCAATAATACATTTTTCGAAAAATTATTTAAGATGGCTCATAATAGAATCGTTATACAATCAAAGTAATAAAGTAGAAATTGTAAATGAGAAACAAAGGAGGCAAAGGAAGTAGGTGCATTAAGATGGAGGCTTACATTTGTCTCTTAGTTTCCTAACAGCTGGGGCTAAAAGGCGAGCATGATGCAATAACCCCTACCCTTTGTCATGAAAAGGGAAGCATACCACTCCTCAAAGGTGAGGACTTTATAAGAAATTTATTACACGGACTTTATAGCGGGGACGTTTTTTGCTAAGATGTACAATGTTTTCAATTATAGTTTTGAAATTACAAATTAAAAACTTGAAATTTGAAATAAAAATAAAGAAGCAAATGTCCCACGGCAGTTTCTTATAGAACCAGTGTAGAGAAAAGAAAGAAAGAGGAGACAAACATGACTCACATAGATTTTCTGGCTTGGGTGTTTCTTGAGGAGGCCTTTAAAAGAGTAGTGTCTTAGCTCTGAAGACTTTGAAGAACCTGTTCCTTAATCAGGAACATTGCACTCCCCCTCCAGCCCCACCCGTCATAAAGAAATATGTTTTATGACAAAAACGTTAAAATTCATATCCATTACATCATAGTGAGCACAATCTTACTTTCCTTTTGGTAATACACTACCAATTTCTTTATTAAGATGGATGAAGAAGGAGCTAAAACGTTGAAGTCAGGAAGAAAAAGACTTTGGAGTGGCCAAACTAGCTACTGCTGTAGTTCAGGGAAAGTACTGGAAAGAATAATAAAATTGGAAGGGATCTCTGATAAGATTGTGTTCGATTACTCGTTTTTTTGAGGAACCTTGGCCCTGAGTCATTTTTGCTGATGCTGCACGGCTTTGAGTGTTAGCTCAGGCAGTACAACAGCCCATGCGCACTCCACTAATGCTCTCCACCACAGGCACGCTTCTGCGGCTTGGCTCACTCTTATTTTGGACACAGCAGCAGCATTTCCTGGACGTAAGAGATTAAGAGCATCAAGTCATAGGAAAGAGGCAATACTGATGTTAAGGCCGCCAGAATCACCATTGTAAGAAGTGACATCCAAGGAGGAAAAAAACCCAAAATACTATAAAAATAGCCAAACAACTGAAAGCAGAGATGTTTGTGTTGGGCAAATGTAAAGGAAATAATTTTCTACAACTCAACAGCCCCTGAGAGTACTGTACTACAGGGGTCTATTATTTAACAGTCTTCCAGTTACGATGTTAGCTGCACAGTGTTCTCAGGACAATGGCTGTAACATTGAGCAAAGGCCTCCGTAGAGCTTCTAGTTTAGAGGGGGAAGTTACACAGGAGATAAGTAGATAAATAAAAATTTATAAATGTAATTAAGAGGCCGGAGCGTGGTGGCTCACGCCTGTAATTCCAGCACTTTGGGAGGCCGAGGCGGGCAGATCACCTGAGGTCAGGAGGTCAAGACCAGCCTGGCCAACATGGTGAAATCCCGGCTTTACTAAAAATACAAAAAATTTAGGGGGGCAAGGCAGTGGGTGCCTGTAATCCCAGCTACTTGGGAGGCTAAGGCAGGAGAATCGCTTGAACCTGGGAGGCGGAGGTTGCAGTGAGCTGAGATCGGGCCACTGCATTCCAGCCTGGGCAACAAAGTGAGACAACAACAACAAAAAAATGCAAAATTCACTGGAGAAAAATGAAGCAGGCCAGTGATAGACAGAGAGATTGGGTGCTGCCTTAGCCACAGCAGTCAGGGATCCTCTCTGAGAAGTATAGATCCAAATGAAACCAAACCAACAGCCCCATAGACGGTTCTTTTTGATAAACACAGAAACTAAACCTTCTGGTCTTAAAGCTTGAAACTTTTATTTGTTTCATCTGAGTTCCTTCCTCAGGAAATAACCTTTAGGCCCCTCAAAAAAGGAACTGAAACTCACCACAACACTGCACTCATTCACCATGATTGCTTCCTTACCCCTCCCCAGTTCTTGTTTTCTTAAACGTTGTTACACTTCCTCTCTGCTACATAAATCCCTGGCATTAGTCAGTAAGGATGGATTTGAGACTGAGCTTGGCTCTTGGGCTGCAGCACCTGATTAAGGCCTTCTTCTTTGGCAATGCTCGGTTTAGTGATTGGCTTTCTGTGCGGCGTGCAGCCGGACCTCAGCCAAACCCCTGGTGTTTCAGTAACATGAATCAAATACAAACATTTTGAATAGTGCTACAATAAAAGTTCACAATAATGTATTGTATATTTCAAAATAACTAAAACAGTGGAATTGGGATGTTCCTAACACAAAGAAATAAATGCTTGAGATGATGGATACTCCAGTTACGCTGATTTGATCATTACACATTGTATGCTTGTATTGAAATACCACATGTATTCCATAAACATGTACAATTAGTATGTATCCATAAAAATGAAAAATAAAACATTAAAAAAGTAAAAAAACATTTTCATTCACTGAAGTGACCCTGGGTCATCAAGAAAGAGTTTAAAATAGTATATTTTAGAAAGACTTTCATGAAAACCATTTAAAGTTACAGAAAGTGTTTGGGGGTTAAAGAGAGTGGGACCTCATTACAGCCACACTTTTCACTATGTGTAATGCCTCAAATCCTGGGAAGGGCCAGATAAATAGGAACACATGGTATCTTTTCACTTATAATAACATACTCCTTTTCTGTTTTTTCATTGAAGCCATAGATTTCAAAGTCAGAGTTATAAAAAAGGATCCTATTCCCTAATAACTTAGGATATATGGAAATATAGTCACTTAAAAATAACAGTGTGATGACAAAGTAAGCTTCTTGGGGATAGAACTCATTTATGAGGCTCAGAATTTGCTCCACAGTTCTCACTGGTTGTAATAAATGTTTCACTTCTGTTAAGGTCTTTTACAATTTCTCATACTGGGAACAGTATCTGCTGTTGTAGCCATCACAATCACTTGTCATTTCAGTTGCATTTAATAAAGACCATTGCGTATCATTTACTACATAAACTCAGGGTTAATAGGGAATGTTTGGTAATTTCTAATCTTGTTTCTGCTGTTCTATTTAACTGCATAAACAAATGTCAGAGTATTTGCTGCTTTTTAAATTATTTGAGCAGCACAGAAAAAAATCAATTTCATTTCTTAATCGGCTTCCTATAAAGTGACTGTCAAAGGCAGGTATCTGGAATTTTAGATTTTTCTCAATTTACTCCTATTTGCTTTTCATTCTTTTATTTCATTGCTCTCATTTGTACAACACATATTTATTGCATGCCTGCTATGTGTCAGGTTGAATGCAACAGGCAAACTCCTTGACCTCGTGGAAGCCACACCAATCCCTCTTTAGCATGATAAAGTGTCATAAAAGGGAAGTATGGGCTTCTTAGGGAGGATATAGGAAGAGCTCTCTTGGGATTTGGGAGTGACAAGAAGGTTTCCTGAAGAAAAAGACATCTAGGCTGAGGGTGTTTTGATCGTGAAAGATGAGAAGAGAAAGAGGATGTGTGTTTTAGGCTGAGAAAAGGGCATGTCCAAGGACAAATGTTCGTGGACAATTTGAAGAGGACAGTGCAGGTTACTGGGGAGGAAGGGCTGGAGTGGAGAGTTTGGAGGGGTGAATGAATGAATATCAAGCACAGAGGCTGGACAGGGTGAGCAGGGCCCAGATTTTGACAGGCCTTCCTATCTTAGGACAGTGGGAAGTAACAGAAAAGTTCCATCAATGGGAGGATAGGATAATTGCATATTAATTTTAGAAATACAACTCTGGCTACAGTGTGGAAAATATATTAATTAGAAGGGGAAAAACAAGAGACCAAGGGACCAGTAAGAGAAGTGACTCAGAAATACTGACAAGACATGCTGGCCTGGAAGAGGGTATTAGCACAGAGCATGGAGAGAAATAGAAACTCGAGATATTTGGATTTAGATTTTTGAATACGGAAGACGAGAACAAGGGAGAAGTCAAGGTAATAGTCAGATTACTGGCTTGTAAAATTAGTTGACTATTCATAAAAGACCACATATTGTGTGATTCTATTTATAGGAAATGTCCAGAATAGGCAAATCTACAGAAACAGAAAACTAGATTGGTGATCGCCTAGGGCTTGGGGCAGGGGGGTGGGAGTGGGAAGTGACTTCTAATGGGGCTCTTTTTAAGGTGATGAAAATGGTGTAAAATTGATTGTGATTAAATTATTGTACTAAAAACCATTTAATGTATATTAAGGTGGGTGAATTGTATGGCATGAGATTTATATCTCAACAAAGCTGTGAGTGTGTGCGCCCATGTATGGATGTGTATGTGTGTGTATATATCTCTATATATGTATACATGGATGCCTGTATGTATCCATGTAGAATATGCAAAACGAACATTAGGTAGTTTGATATTTGAGGCTGGAGCTACAGAGAGAGCTAAGCCAGCGATAAAGATTCAGAAATCAGCAGTCACTGAGGTCGCAGTAGCTAATGGGATTGTCTAAAGGAAATGAGTGGGGAAGAGAATGGGTTTCCACAGGCAACCCTCTGTGGAAACCGAAAATAAATCACTAGAGAGAAGGGAAAGAACTAGAGAAGACTGGCTAACTTGGAGGTCAAATGTGAGCGTCATTTTCTGCCTGCGAGGTGGGAGACTTATTTTCAACTGATTCTCTGGGTTTTGACACATCCTCTGGGTTCTCCAGGGCATAGGGGAGTGCTGCTTTCTCACTGTGGCAGTGCGGAGCGGAAGAGTGAATAAATATTGCAAATGGAGGGACCTGCCAGTGGGTGCGAAAGGCCTCAGGAGCACGAGAGAATGCAGCTCACCAGCAGAGTTTCAAGCAGTTCACTATGGCTCAAGGACAAGAAGAGGGCAAGAAAAGAGGCTGAAGAGCAGTCGTGGGTCGCAGGATAGAAGGCCTTGGAAGGAATTAGGACCTCATCCTGAAGGAGGTGCTGAGCCATTAAAGGAACAATTAAGGGAGGAGCATGCTCAGAGGTACAGTTTACAGACATTTTCAGGGGCAGGCTGGAGAGGATGCAGTTAAGACAGTTATGTGGTACCTGAAATACTCCAGAGTGGGAAATGATAGTCTGAAATATGGAAATAGCTGTGAGGTTGGGGGGGAATGAGTTGGAATAAGCTTTTGCAGGTAGAAGTCACAGTTTAGAGCCACTGATGGATCACAGGTATGAAAGAGAGGACAAAAGCCAGAATCACTCCCAGGTTCTTGGTTTAGGAGACCATATGGATGACAGTGGCATTCATGGAGAACAGGAACATGAGAAGAAGGTCAGGCTATCAGGGGCGATGCCAAAGAGTCCTCAAGCTGTTAGTGAGCAGGAGCTGTGGGGTCAGAAGACCTCAATAAAATGAATGGCCTGGCAGCTAAGGCATGCTTATCTGTGTCTTGGAATCCTGATCTGAGAGATATGGATAATACGTTCAGGGCTATTTCCAGGATTAGCTATCACAGTGGATGTGAACAAGCCTTATTCTAGGCCTGGAATTTGAAAGATGCTTAATAAATGCCTGTTTCTCCCCTTCTTTCGTTTTCTTCTAGTTTCACCAAAACCCACCCATTTACACCAGGGCCCCTCTCTAGAGAGCTCCTGCTATGATGGGTTTCTCTTTCTGAGTTGATATTTTCATATCAGTTCATATTAATGGACTAGCAGAGAAAGTTTCAAGGAGGATGTGGTAAGTACTACTATGGGAGAGGCTGGAATGTGAGGAAGAAGGGCTGGAGGAGATCAAAGTGCCCAGATCCCCAGCCAGCGAGGGGACTGAAGAGGAGACCAAGGCCTCTCTTTCCTGCCAGGCCTTCCTTTGTGCCTGGCCTAATCTAGCCACAGTTTTCACACTGGCCATTAGTAGATGTGATGGCTCCCATCTGATAGTAAGAGTGAGCCACTTACATGTAGTAGATAATAGTATGTGGAGTCTTCAGGGTTATTTAATGTTTTGGGTTTCCGGGGTCGTCTTGGGGGTCTCAATATTTTTGGCTCCTCTCCTTTAGAGATACCTATAAGAAAGGTGATCATAAACAAGTATTCAATTACAAAGACTATTATCAAGTGAGGTTTTCCTTTTGGAATAAATAAGAAATTATATACCTATGACTGAGGCTGAGGCTGGAGAAAAAGGAAATACTTTTGCTGCACAACCAGCCCTTATCCTACTCCTTACCATGTGCTTTCCTCTAGTTGTCTGGTGGTCTAGGACTTTGAGAGCCAAGGCGAAGAAAACAAGAGGAAGGAAAAGAAAAACAATGCAGCCGGGTGCAGTGGCTCACGCCTGTATCCCAGCATTCTGGGAGGCCGAGGCGGGCAGATCACTTGAGGTCAGGAGTTCAAGACCAAACTGGCCAACATGATGAAACCCCATCTCTACTACAAATACAAAAAAATTAGTCAGGCATGGTGGCAGGCACCTGTAATCCCAGCTACTTGGGAGGCTGAGGCAGGAGAATCACTTGAACCTGGGAGGCAGAGGTTGCAATGAGCCGAGACTGCACCACTGCACTCCAGCCTGGGTGACAAGAACAAAACTCTGTCAAAAAAAAAGAAAAAAGAGAGAGAGAAAGACGAAAGAAAGAAAGAGAAGGAAGAAAGAAAGAAAAGAAAAAAAAGAAAGGAAGGAAGGAAGGAAGAAAGAAAAAGAATAGTTTGGTCATGTGAAATTGAGTAGAGCAGTTCAGAGCATGGATGACGTCAGGGGTCAAAGCTGCCAGAAAAACAATTTAGAAAGCAATGTTATGCTTACAGAACCTCTTCTGCCCCTTCCCTCCCCCGTGTGTCAGCTTCGTGTGGTGACCCATCTACCCAAGCACTGCATGATCTGCATTTTTAAGGACCGCCTCATATGTTATGGCTCCAAATGAAGAGACTGCTCATTTGCAGAGCTGACTCTTTCTCAAAAGCCTAATCTGTTCTTTCTCCAAAATTTAGGACCTCAAACCAGTAGCATTTTTAGATTTGACATTAAAAGAGTGACAAAGGAAGAATAAATTTTGTCATCTTTTCCTACTCTTTCTGTTAATACAGCCAAGATCTCAAACCTGGAACAACACTGTCAGAGCTTCTGGTGATCTGTACACTTTGATGTTCATGTTCATTACAAGTGGCTTTATATTTACAGAGCTAATAGACCTCACTAAATATTTCTATTTTTTTCATGATTCTTGACAACTCCATCCACAGACTCTGTTTGTGCAAAAATGTCTGCTCGACAGATAGATCAGGATAGAAGTGTGAGTTGGGTATGGTACTTATAGGAAAGCTTCATTCAATACACCTGAACATATATTTCTAGGTAGGACTTTAAAAGCAGTAATAGCTCATTCTTGCATACAGTAAAGGGGCAGTGATGATTCCTAATCCCCAGATGTTGAAATACACAGAGAAACAGAGCTGTCCCAAACTATACTAATCAAATAGAAGAATATTTATATTTATTATATGTAAACAACTGTGACTGGCAAGTGTCTTCAACCAATGGTGAAAGACTCATAGATGTCTAACTTTCTAGTTCCCTGACCAGCCCACTAGGTGAAGATACTGATCACAGCAGCATTCATATTCTGACATTATCCAGCTCATTCATTCCAAAAGGTATGAGAAATTTCTGGGTGACAAAGGGGATCAGCTAATCGGGGGTACTTCATAGAGGTGTAGTGCATGGAACAATGCTCCTCAGAGAAACCTCAGCAATCATACATTGCTGTCCTTTTATGAATAAAACAAAAAGAGATATTTGTCAATGAGACCATGTTATTACAGATTAGTAATAGACAAAGCATTTGTCTGACCCATCCCTAGAGGTTCATCTCCCATTCTCTCTCTCCCTTCCTCAAGGAATAGATGGAGGAGGTGGAGGGAGTCCAAATATCTGAGTCATTTCTGGATCCATCTTAGACCGTCACAGGCACAAGGAAAGATGGTAAGGCCTGAATTCTTGCCACCACCATAAATAGTGGTCTTTTATTTTTTCCTTCTCATTATCCTCTCTCCCAGTGCTGATTATTAAATAGATTCTATTGGCTCTTGCAAAGTTTTATCATTTCAAAATGCATTTGTCATATCCATTTATATTACTCATTTGAATCTGAATGGCAAGATACATAAAAATATGGTATAAGTTATTAGATATTCTTAATATTTTTAGAAACATGAATGTGGTGTGTGACTAAATTTTAACTTGGCTTTAATATTATTTAAAATCTGAATTGAAATATCAGAACATTACTATCATAATACAAATTAATTAAAATGAAGATGGCCAAGAAGCTGAATAATTGCCAAGAGAGTGAAAACAAAAAAAAGGTTCTGGGAATAAAGACATTATTGAGCTTGTGTTCATTTTATCATCAAATGTTCCCCCATTCAATCTGATTTCTCTATTGAAAATGCTTTCTATTAGGTTGTTGCAAAGGGAATTGCGTTTTTTGCCATTAAAAGTAATGACAAATTAAAAGTAATGGCAAAAACCGCAATTCCCTTTGCAACAACCTAATAGATGGTGAAGGGTCCTTTTCACCAACAAATCCAAAGGTCCTTTATCTGTCCCTGTTGTCTCTGACCCTTCTTCATTAAGCATTATTAAACACCCCTCGTCTTCATGACTCAGGATAAAGTTTCTGAAGGCAGGTGCCTTATCTTATTTTTCTTTGTATTCCCAGTACTTATAAAAAATACTTGACACACAGTAAGTGCTTAATATAAGTTTGCTAGATGACTAAGTGATCTTCCCCTTGCCTTGTGGATTGAATCATCCTTTCCTCAGGTCCTGGCAATTTCCGGTGTTCCTAATGCACACCTCAGGTCTGACCCTCCCATCCCACAGGAGCTCCTGCCCTAATTTCTTACTCCTTACTGAATACTTCTCTCTCAGACTCAAATGAACCTGCAGTCATCATTCTTCTCCATCTAAGATTCTATATACTACAACCTCAATGGCAGCATTATTCCTGCTTCCCAGGTTGAAAACACGGATATCACCTTTGCCGTGTGTCTCTTCTTCATTTCCTACAGACAAGCAATAATTAATTTCTGTCCATTGTTTTGACACATCCTTTGAAATATCTAATATTCATCCACCACTTAGTTTCATTTGCCATTGCAATCACTCTGGATGAAACGACTCATTTAATAACTGTGGTAGAGTCTTAATATGGTTTCTATGCTTTATCTCACAAATGGAAACCATATTTTCCTTTCTTTTTATTTTTTCTTTTTTTTTGAGATGGAGTCTTGCTCTGTCTCCCAGGCTGGAGTGCAATGGTGCAATCTTGGCTCACTGCAACCTCTGCCTCCCTGGTTCAAGCGATTTTCCTGCCTCAGCCTCCCAAGGAGCTGGGATTACAGGTGCTTGCCACCGCACCCAGCTAATTTTTGTATTTTTAATAGGGACGGGGTTTCGGCATGTTGGCAAGCCTGGTCTCGAACTCCTGACCTCAGATCATCTGCTCGCCTCGGCCTCCCAAAGTGTTGGGATTACAGGCGTGAGCCACCATACCTGGCCCAGATTTTCCTTTCTTAAATACCACTTTAATTGTGAAATTTCAAGTTTCAAAAATTTATGATGATGCCTCCTTTTCCCCTCTTCATCAAGTTTAAACTTCTGACTCCAGGTTATTTACAATCTTAGCAATTTCAATTTTATCTCCCATTTCCCCCCAAATGAACTTTCTCCTCTTGTCAGTCCAGTTGTCTCACTGAAACCCTGATAGACAATGTTTATAGCTGTAACTTTGCTTTTTCTCACCTTCTCATAGAAAAGCTTTTCATAGACTTACTGAAATCTTAAGCTTGTTCAATGTCCACCTTCAATCCTATCTCTTTAATGAAGTTTTCACTGACTCCCCAGTGATCTCTCTCTCATTGAGCATAAATGGTACTTGCTAGAGGCACAAGCCATTTTAAACCTGGTACAGGCTGAATCGTGTCACCTCAAAATTCACATGTTGAAATCTTAACCTCCAATACCTCAGAATGTGACTGTGTTTGGAGATAGGGTCTTTAGCAAGGTAAATAAGTTAAAATGATGTCATTAAAGTGGGTCCCAATCTAATGTGACTGCTGTCCTTAAAAGAACAGGAGATTAAGACAGACACACACAAATAGAAGACCATGAGAAGACGACCATCTAAAGGCAAAGAAAAAGACCTCAGAGGAAAACGACCTTGTTGACACCTTGGTTTTGAACTTCTAGCCTCCAGAACTGTGGGAAAGTAAGTTTCTGCTGTTTAGGTCACTCAGTCTATGGTACTTTGTTATGGCAGCCCTGGAAAACTAATATAGAACCTAATCCCGTATGTCTTGCTGCTTACTATTTTTTGCTGTGATTTTTTTTTTTTTTTTACATAGTGGCACGAGAAGTCTCTAGATGGTGGGGATCATGACTTAGGTTTTGATGTCCTTGTGTCATTTCATTGGTGATCTACATGTGGTAGTGTTTGGAGATGCAAAGATTGTGATTTCATTTCAGCTTAGAGATGTAGTGCTAAGTGAATAGTAAATATTAATATACTTCTGTGAACTGGATCACCATTCTCATCACATATAAAAATAAATTTCTGATGCTTTAAAGATTAATATAAATAAAAGAAATAATAAAGCTCTTGGAAGAAAATCAGGGATAATTCATGAGCAATCTAGGGGCATGAATGTTTTAATCAAAATTCAGAAATCATAAAAATATAGACATATTTGCCTATTAAATATAGGCAAAAACTTTTATTTGGCAACAAAGTCAAAAGACACATGATAGACTTGGAAGGCTATATTTGCAACACAGATATAAAGGGTTCATATTTTTAATATGCAAAGAGTGCTAACAAATGACTACCAAAAATATAGACCAACAGAAAAGTGAGCAAAAGATTTAAGTAGAAAATTCAAGATGCGCAAATCCAAAAAGCAAATAAGCATGGGAAGGCACCTGAATTTACTAGCAGATAAGAGAATATAAATTAAAATTAGATATGATTTTACTCCAGACACATTAGCAAAGATTAAAAAGAAG